GTCAGGTGGTGTTGCAGTTTATCCTCTTGATTAGAACGGAAATCCTTAAGAACTTCCTTAGTGGATTTGTACACATCATATTGAATATTAGTGTGACAGCTTGACGATTTCCAGAGAGCTTTCAAGGAATCATTTGGGGACTATTTTAATGAATTTCGGAGAACTGACTGGCACTGAGTAATTTGATAGAGGGGGGACAAATATTAAGACCAAATTTATTGCTTTCTTGGAAAACATTGCTCAGTGTTCCAGATATCGGAATATCAATCCATTTTCGGATGTAGCCATTCACTACAGAGTCGAGATGTTGCATTATCCAGGTTTGGATATATTTGCTATGGTAAAATGCCATGACAACTTCGATAGGACATAGCGGCTGTACAGAAGAAGTTTGTGTTTAGGATGCAGTGGCTTTATATCGATGTCATTCATCAAGATTTGTACAAGAGAAGACAATTCAGATTTGTGTTGGTTATTAGACATGTTGAAGTCAAAGAAGCGACCTAAGTAACGAAATGATAATAATAATAATAATAATAATAATAATAATTATAATAATAATAATAATGTAATCATATGATAATAATAATCATAATAATAAATAAATAGTAATAATTTCCTCTTCGCTACCTATTAATTCGAGCTCGCTATCATCGATAAACTAAAACTTCCCGAAACTAAACCATATCAAAAACCACTCCAATCGTGTACCTTCCACCTAGTTTCGGTCAGCTTTCAATTTCTTATTTCTCTGACGAACTATCAAGAACATGGATCACCTCCGACCACGATGCAAGATTAATATTAATACCGCTGCTATCGCGTAGGTGCAGGTGCGATAACAGGCGACCAAAACCTAACGAAGGTCTTTGAGTCATTAACGCCAAGGAGCTTGGTTATGGTAGCGAACTTGGTTAGCTGATGTAACGAACTCGGTCTTTGGGTAGCGGACATGTAGCGAATTCGAACGTAGCGAATTCGTCAGGGCAGCGAAACCGGCGTAAATCCTCCCATCCGCTTTGCGATTCTGCCCCTTATCCCACTTCTTAGAAAAGTGGTGTTGTACTTCATGGCATTAAGATCAGAGGAGCAGGTTTTTTAATTGAGTACTGAAAGTTATCGGGGATTGTGCTGGGTCTGACCTCCTTGTACTCTGTGATAGCTGTGGAAAAGTCATGACATCTTCATAATCCATTAAATGTGAAACTCAAACCGATGATGACTTTTTCACTCGCCTTTTTCTGCGCTGTTTCGATTAATTGATTTTATTTTACAACATGCAAACAAAATACACCTGTTCCACAATTGTTCAGCTCTTCATTTAATCTGCGTGGCTAGCTATAGAGAAAAAATGCTTAGATTGTGAGTTTAAAATTGTTTACTTACCGTGACAATAGCCAGCCAAGTGGCTCCCTCGGCGTGTCTCAGTAGATTGGCTCCACCAACATAAGATAGAACGTACATCAGAATGAATATAGTTCCTCTGGTACCTGACCTGTAGTCACAACCTGCTGCGCCAAAGAAGCATTGAACGCCAAACCACCAACTAGAAATCAGACGTAAATTTGGATGAATGACAGGTTTTGAAATCGTCTGGCCCCGCCATTTATGAAAGGTCGTCAAGAAACCTAACTCCCAAAGTGCCTCTCTCCACTGAAAAGTATATATAAATGGATACGGAAAAAAATCTGCGCAATTTAACAACCTGAAAAGCACTAGCTTTCCACCCAGAAAGACAAGCAATAATTTTAAGTCACTTCTGAAACTGGGAGAAGTCAGTAGCTTTGCAAATAAGTCCGGCATAGAGTTTTGCGATGCCAAATCTTGCTTCAGTTACAAGCTAGAGAGAAACAAAAACTTACTTTTCCCCAAACTCTTGGATATTGCTAACATATCCATACCACGGCAGAATGTCCAACCAAAACAAAACTCCCACACAGAGCAGCTGATATGAAGACGTCCAGAACAGAAAATACAACAGGTTGATCCCTTTCTTTGACGATCTATTTTCCATCTTCACACCTCTCTCCTCGAGCACGTTCATGATGGCTGCCGGAACCTGAAGAATGAAATCGAAACATATCAACGTGACCCATTTACTACCAAGATCGGCCTGGTAATTCTCCTTTCTAGTTGTTACACATTTTCTTGTGAATAGTTAGGAGATTTTAGGTTCACAAGGGAAGCATTCATAACATGAGATGTGTCTTCATCAAAATTTGAAAATTTCGAGATGAAGTTCTGAGAGACAGAGGGCACGGCACTATTTGCGTCAAATTATGATTCAGTTTTGCTAACAAGAAACCAAACTATTTGGCATTCATTGCTCACCTGGATTAATTAAGAATTGTTTCATGCTTAGCGTGCGTGTATCGAGTTATGGATACACGCGGGGAGTTTGGAGAGCACGAGAGAAGCGTAAGAGTTGCTCTCGGCTGCGCCTCGAGCAACTCTAGCTTCTTGAGCGCTCTCCCAACTTCCCAAGTGCATCTATAACTCGATAGACGTTCAGCTAAAAGCGTGAAAGAATTCTTTTATAACATACGAAAACAATTTGGGCGCTGAGTGACGTTTTTGTAATGTTTTTTTGAAATGAAAGTTGCTCGAAAATCGGTTGGCGTCTCCGATTCTTCTGTTGATTTTGTAATTAAATGGTTTTCGGTAGAGTCAACAAAATGTAACCATAAAACGTCATCAACAGAGACGTTTACCTTTAAAAGTCGCCACAGACCAATTTGTAGTCTTCTTAGTTCTTGCTGATTGTCTTTCAGCTAGAAATTTGCTCCAGCTCCCGTTCCGATAAATTCGGAAAACGGGCCTGTTGTGTTTCGTTTTCGTAGTGCTTGTTGGCTTGACTACTTGCGGGAAGGTCGAAAGCCAAAGAAAAGTTTGGTTGGTCTTCATGTTGACGCAATAGGAATTAGATAGGACTATCGCGCGCGCTATGTTATAAAGAAAATTGAAATAGCACGAAAACAATTCCGTATTCTTTGACTTAAAGTTCTACTTACGAAACCAAGCATGAAAATTATGGGCCACATCACTCTCGAAACACCTTCGGCTTCGTTTTTTTTTTTCTCGGCTTTAGGATCAACCTCGGGAAAAATTGTTGGGATGAGGCAAATAAAAAGACCAACAACCACGATGATACCACAGGACAACTTCAGCAAGGTGGGCTTCTTACGCACAATCAGTACCCTTCGGGGAAAGACAAAAGCAGTTGTAATGTTAACAACAGCATAATGATTTCTGTTTTATTTGGGAGAAGTCATTATTTATCCCCTGGTCAGGGATATATATATTTTTTTGGGGGGGAGGGAATCACATAGTTTTCAAGGTGTATAGAGGGAGGGATCCCCCCTTAGGGACCTGTTAATTTTGACCTTAATCGCGCGTCACAAATGAACCCTTTACCATCCTCGATGAATAGCACTTCATAGTAAAAGGAGAAGCATACTCCACCAACCACATAATCATTATTTCCTTTATTGAAGAGAGCTAAAGATATATAAAAAAGCTAATGTTACGATTTTGCTAAAACACATTATTTTACTGAAAAATGCCTGGTACAAATTGATGGGTAGGAGATAGTTACAAAACAGAGTCACATGATTCTACGTGGAAACGAATCCTTGCAGCATTTACCTTCGGGAAATTTGTGCCTTGAAACAAATGAAGCTGGTACCAGTTTTTTCGGGTCATTCAAGAAAATAAGAGAAAAGGTTTCATTAACTAGGTTTTGAAAGCAATATGTTTCTTTCAGCCAAGTGCCCAAATTTTGTGACGTAATAATTTGGATATATCAACAAAGTTGAAATGGTAAATTAGCCACCGTAACGACTACAAAAGCTTACGTTTCGAGCGTTAGCTCTTCGTCGTGATACCTTTAGTGATATCATTTGTGACGTAAGTCGCGTCCGCCATGCTGTGCATACTGACGAGATCATTACTGATGCTTCCGGATCGAGATCGCACAAGCTCCCTCAAGAGCAAGCGCATAGAATTGAACGACTGTTTAAAGGTGGCGATCACAGTGACATTGACTCTGACGACGAACTCCTCGAAAATGAAGAGGTGTGCGATGAGGATTCGTCTGATAAACCTCCTAAACGTGTGTTTGTCAGCGCTAGGTCGGGGGCTTTCAGCAACATGTTTACAGCTGTTTTGATTCATAACCAGACATGTTGAGGATGCTCTTTGCTGGGTCAAAATGGGTAGACCGAATAAACGGGCTGCGTCACGTATTTCTCATCAGCAATTATGAACTCTTAAAATGAAACTGGAAATTTAGTAATCACCTTGCCGAAATCATAGGAACTTCAAAAACAAGAAGATTCTAAAGCTTTGTAATTTTCACGTTCGTACTAATTGATATCAACGCGACTAACATTGGTCTAATGTTTATTACGTTTATCTTCGATAACAGTCCGCTTTGATATCCTCCTGTTTTTAACACCTGTGTCTCTTATTATCGGCTTTTACCTTTTTCCTGACATTCTTTTGAAGGTTTGAGCTGTTGTTGAAATGTTTCAGTTGATTTTGTAACCTGGTCTTGATTGTCGCAATACTTCGAATTGCGTGACTTAGCCCATTTCACTTGTCAAGATCATGAGGCATTATAGTAATATCTTGGCAAGATTTCCATATAACCCCATTCATAAATTATGCACAGAGTGTTGCAAGAAACCTTTATATTTAGTATTTATGAAATGGAACTCATAATTAAATCATGAGGTTATATGTAAATCTTTCCAAAATCTTGCTTACGTTCAAGGGATAGGGAAGAATGAAAACCACACAAAATTCAAAAGAGAATAATGAATAATTCGAAAACGAAAACGAAGAATAATGAACAATCGAGGTCCATTATTCAGCTTTCACCCCCGATCAATAAATAATAACCACTCACCGGAATAAAATCGTCAAAGGAATCATGAAGTTTCCAAGAATCGCTTGAAGGTATGGCGGTGTTCGTGATCCTTTACTCGCGAATACTACCAAAGCTCCGTTCAAGGCGTCACAGAGGCCAACCAAGAAGAGCAGAAGGTGAGGAAAACGCTTTTCTGTTTCGCCGAGATCTTGCGGTGAAAAGATTTTAGTGAACAACGTTCCCAGTCCAAATACTATGACAAAAGACAAACTTGCAAAAGATAGCACAAAGTAACTGTCCACTGATTTTCCCGAATGATTTCCGTTCATGACAGAATCGATCCATAGCGGAAGAGACACGTTTTGACCGACTTGCCCGGCTACAGCCACAAATGCAAATAACAAGTTTGCCCAAAATAGTGAGATTTCGCAGAATCCAATCTTAACCAGTTTCCGTTTTCCATAAAGTGACGCCTGGCGAGATGGCTCGAAATCTTTGGAAATGCTTGATACATCACCATCGTCGTAACTCCGATGAGAGTTATTAGTAGAACCCATTTTTAAACCGAATAGTGATTCAGGGTGCAAGGAGCAGTGTTCGCTTGGAAAGCTTTCTATTCCCCGCCGGATAAACCTCCGTTTGCTCGGCTCTGGGAAAATGTTTCGATATGAAAGTCTAAGGTTGCAAAGTCGCAATATGTTAATCGTAACGGTGGCATTTCAACTTTGTTGATATATTCCAATTATTTCGCAATATGTTAAGTAAGTTGCATCATGATTTAAATAATCCCGAGCTTACTAATTGTTGCGCGTTAACGTGGAACAAACAGAGTTGTACCTTTTTTGGCTTCATCTACGTCATAAAGATCACCTTACATAAATTTGCTGCATCACTGTCGAACTCGCAATGGATTATTGGGTGTTACGAAAACGAAGACCCTCGAAAACGAAGACCGAAGACCTAAGACCTGGGGTCTTCGTTTTCGTAGTATGAAAACGAAGACCCTGTAAACAGAAAACTGTAGAAATTACAAGTTAAACACACATTAAACATTAACAACGCTTAGTAATTTAATACTTTACACTTCGCGCGTTTCTTTCCATTATTATACTGCCAGTACTACTGGCCTGTCTGTTTGGTGATGATATTCTCGTGGGTGTTACGAAAATTAAGAGCCTCGAAAACGAAGACCTATGACCTTAGACCCGGTCTTCGTTTTCGTAGTACGAAAACGAAGACCCTGCATTAGCCAAAAGAATTGCTTACTTTTTAACGAGAATTTTCCAGCAGAGAAAGCTTAACGAGCGTCAGAATCTATTTTAGGTACGAAATACAGTAGAAATCGATTATTTATTGACAGAACCTAAGAGTAATTTTTCCTATACAGAACGCGTTCTCAGTTATTCTGTCACGCAATACTAACTATAAATCAATGGCGGCTGGCGTTGGAATTCTGCCTGCTGTTCCAGATTAACAATATGTGTGGTAAGTTTACCCGAGGAAACCTTCGAGAATATCAACACCAAATTGGCTCGCTAGCGAAACAGAACACTGACAAGACGGGTAGTATAATAATATGGGCAGTATAATAATAGAAGAAACGCGTGAAATGTAGTGTATTATATTACTAAGCGTTGTTACAGTTTAATGTGCGTTTAACTTGTAATTTCTACGGTTTTCTGTTTACATGGTCTTCGTTTTCGTTTTCGTGGTACGAAAACAAAGACCGGGTCATAGATCTTCGTTTTCGAGGCTCTTCGTTTTCGTACCACGAAAAGCCCAAACCCGCTAGCTCAAATTTCGTATTATGTAATGTATTTTTCTTCAATGGGTTTTGGTTCAATGGTCTTTCGTACGATGGGATTTTGTACGATGGGTTTTCGTACGATGGGTTTTCGTTCAATGGGTTTTCGTACGATGGGTTTTCGTTCAATGAGTTTTCGTACGATGGGTTTTCGTTCAATGGGCTTTCGTTCAATGGGCTTTCGTACGATGGGTTTTCGTACGATGGGTTCCTGCTTCCGATGAGTCCGCATACGTTTGATGACATTGAGTTTGCATTTGATTACTTTGGAACTTCGATTGACGGATTTGACAGTTTGTTTGACGGAGATGACTATCGATTTGATTACTTCGACATTTTGAATAGCAAGTTTGGGCAACAGATTTGACACATTTTGTTCGATGAATTTTGTCACATATTTGACTCCATGCATAGAAAAGCGTTCGTTGATACCTGTGGGATTTAGACTGCCGGTTTGAAAGATGGGCTTTTGTTCAAGAGTTTTACGGCTTTCCCTACTACCTAAGAGTGAGGAAAGACCGCAGATTGCCATATGTTGCTTAGAATGATTAGGTAAATTAAAATGTCTAGCGACTGGTTTCGATGTGTCCTTGTCATTCCTTTCCACATCTCGAAGGTGTTCTCGGAATCGGTCACCTAGTCTTCTGCCTGTTTTGCCGATGTATTTCTTTTTGCAATAAGTGCAAGTTATGCAATAGATTACATAGGCGGAGGTGCACGTGAGGTGACTGTAGAATACTATAATTTTGACCCACAATACAAACATTCTGGTACATTTGAATCTTCCCAATTATTAAGTCCCTATTAGTCAGAATTTGCGACCCTATTTTGGAAACTTTATTGAAAATGCAACACCGGTGGTGAAAACTGTGAACCCATACAGCAGCACATCCCCATGATTCAATTTTCGAGCCAATAATGCTTTGGATGAAAGCATTCTATTTGTGTAAGTGACCCTGAGAACCCACAGGGGGTCCAGATAAGCGATGAGTCTGGTTGTTTATTAGAAATATAAAGGAATGTACATATGATGTACGATCCTCGCAGTAGATAGCACTATTTATGAAATATATGAACTTCATATATTTCATTGTATCTCATAAAGGAATGTATGTGAGAATATTGAAGAGTCTTATTATCGTAAACTTATATCATGAAATGTCTGAGTTAAAGCTCAAAATAAATGTAAACCTACCTCACTTGCTGTGTATTGTCGTTTCCGTGGCTCTAAATGGCGAATTTGAGCGATTTGGTGGGTTTTGCGTCGACTGTTACTACTCCGTAGTAACTGTTACTCCACCAAATCCCTCAAATTCGCCGTTTAGGTATAGTAACAGTCGACGCAAAACCCACCAAATCGCTCAAATTCGCCATTTAGAGCCACGGAAACGACAATACACAGCAAATGAGGTAGGTTTATATTTATTTTGAGCTTTAACTCAGACATTTCATGATATAAGTCTACGATAATAAGACTCTTTAATATTCTCCCATACATTCCTTTATATTTCGAATAAACAACCAGACTGGTCGCTTGTCTGGGCTCCCTGTGGTGAACCGTGAATGTGGCAAAGACAGCTTTGTCACAACAGTGCCACATGATGCGTGGCATGATGTTCCACGTAACACAAAAGATATTTGCGTGATGAGGCCAAAAAAACTATGCAGGAAATTTTCGCTTAAAAAAGAATAATAAAACGAGTGGTAAGAACATGAGCATAAAAATTTTATGGTCTTCATCAACCCAACCGAAATCCTTTTGTTTTTCTCACGGCTTGATCCTATGACAGATCGCCGGGAGGGGTACTCGATATATTCCTGGGTGGGGAGGTGCGGCGCGGCCCCTCATACCCTGACTCTGTTTAAGACAAATATCGCTGATTTTGCTACCCTGTTTAAGGCAGAATTCCGATTTTTGATACCCTGTTTAAGACATTTAATGTGCCTGGTATCAATGCCAAAATCAACGGAATTCAATATTAATTAAAATTAGAGCTTGTAAAAATTTTGCTGTTTATCTTCCAAATGAAGAAAAGATATCCTGTTTAAGACAAAAATTGATAAATTGATACCCTGATTAAGACAAAAAATGATAAATTCGATACCCTGTTCAACACAAAAATCTCGAAAAACATACCCTAGCTGGCTGCACGTCCCCATTAAGCCCTTATAAGGGAGTACCCCCCCCCCCGGGAACAGATCACTAACAAGAGACATGTCAATGATGCCGCTAAGTTGTCATAGACACCCCTGGGTTATTCAAGAGTGACAAATTAGCCTTGTCTCCGTTTTGGGAATAAAGATGTGCTTATATATTTTTCCAAAATGGTATCTTTGTCAGTTTGAGCAACGATAAAGTAAACATGCGGAATGTTATTAGAGCCAAAAAGGAATAAACATTTCTTTTGTTTGTTCCACATTATTGTTCATCGTGTTGAGAGCACGAGATTTTTATATTTATGACGAAACTTGCGAAACATACTAGAACATCACTTGAAACCATGGACTTTCATCTATACAAATTCTCCGAGCGCGACGAATATAAATCTTATCCAGCAAGAGGGAGGAAAAAACCTTCTCTTGAAGGTATCTTGAAGGGTTTTTTCGGTAAACGCCATTCCTTGAATCACTGTCCGATCTGGGTTCTAGACCGTTCTACAAGTAGTTCATCATTCTATTTAAGAAGAAGTAGGGTGATGTGTCAGGTATTACCAAGGATTTCGGGCTATCTTTCCCGACGTCACTTTATGGAATTTTAATGTATCATGGTAGCTTATTGCCCGTGATTCAACTTACGTTACAAAAGCAGGATGAAACAAGACTTTTCATTCAGTTATTTCATTACCTCCCGCAGTAAATCATTGCATTTTTCAGTGAGGAATATATGATAGAGCGATTAAATTTCAAAAATATTAACTCTGGCTGGTTTAGTTCCTTTAGAGCGTTTTTTTATGTTTAAAGCATTTAAACGGACACTTTTAAAATGTACAGACACACTTTTGTTTTTTCAATCGATCGCTAACTTACTTGCACCAGCTCTTTCTTCTTATTTATTTATTTATTTATTTATTATTACCTTTTGTTCAGTTTTTATTCAATTTTACTTCATCTGTTTGTTAACCGGTTAGTTTGACCTTACTGCTTTGATGTCATGTTAAAGCCAATTAGTCTGTGGAGAGAGCCTCTCTATAAATAAACATGCTATAAAACATACATTGTTCCCTTTATTGTAAGAACTGTTTACAAATGGTGTTGTTTACAAGCAGTCTTGAAACAATCTCTCATTGTTTGGTCCCTTTCCCTACACGTGTAATGAAGAAGCGCGGGTCTCATTGCTACGGTTTTTTAAGTCTTTAATGCGTTATAGCTCGGTGACTGTCTGCTTTCTGTGTTCGAGAGAAGAGGTTGCCCTGAGTTGTACTCCTCACTTTGATTTTCATTCGTGTCTAGTGAAATCTCTGGTGCTCTGTCATAAAGAAGAGAAAACAAAAGCCATCGTCAGAGACCGGTCAGTTTTCACCTATCCAATAATAGATTTAAAAAGATTGGGGGAGGGGGGGGGGTTGGTGGGCATTGAAAAAAAACGGCTTACAATTCAGTAAATGCCGCGGCATTTCAGCAAGTAAATATTAAATACTTTTCCTTACCCCATGTTGTAAACAAAAATGGCGGGAACCATGATCGCTAACGCGCCGATACTGAACCAGGTGCTTACGTGACCCGCGGGGTGCCATTTAAATGGTGATTCTTCGAACAAAGTCCAGAAAATGAATCCCAGTGGAGTGACGAGTGACTAAAAGATATGAGGATAAAAATGATTTCATTATCTATGTTTACGTATCAACAATAGATCTCTTCCCAGCACCTTACTGTCTATTCAAGTTCTAAGGTAAACGAATAAACGTGCTAAGTTTCTACAAAAACTGTGGCGTTGCGTTGGAGAGGAAGTATAACGAGATAGTTTGGTTTTATCAACTGAGTTGATAATTCAAACACAACGAATATATGAAATTCATATATCTGAACTGCGGTTATAAAAACGTATTTGTGCACGAACCTCGCAGTAAAGAGCACTATTTAAGCAACAGGGAAAATCAGACCTGAAAAAAATTCAGGCCTGTACGGAACTCGAACCACTGACCTCTGCAATACTAGTTTAGCACTCTACCAATTGAGCTAACAAGCCAACTGGAAGCAGATCACCAAATTAGTCCGACATAAACCCGTAAGATGATAAATTAAACACAACGAATTTATGAAATTCATATATCTGAGCTGCGGTTATAGAAACGTATTTGTGCACGATCCTCGCAGTAAAGAGCACCATTTAAGCAATAGTAAAAATCAGACCTGAAATTGAGCTTGTTAGCTCAATTGAATTTTTTCAGGTCTGATTTTCACTATTGCTTTTAAAAATAGTGCTCTTTACTGCGAGGATCGTGCACAAATATGAGTTGATAATTGTAAATTGGCCACCGTAAAGAGTTTCTAAAGCTGAAGTTTCAAAAGTAAGCCCTTTGTCCTGACAAAGGAGGTTCTCATCGTTTGCTATTTGTGACTTTGTCTTTTTTCTGTTTGGTTCTTAAGTTTCCCCTTTATACAATGTTGGCGAAGACTGATCTTCCCTACGTACCCCTATGAAAACCATGTGAAAACATCCTCTGACTCACCACCAGGCTCCTGGTCAAAATGTGCACGAATACAACTGTTCCACAATTGCACGTCAGGGTAAAGATAAAGTTCTAGGTTTTCAGTTTCAAATTTTCACTTACCATGACAATAGCCAGCCAGGTGGCCCCCTCGGTGTGTCTCAGCAGATTAGCTCCTCCAGCATAAGATAAAACGTACATAAGAATAAACAAAGTTCCTCTGGTGCCTGACGTGAAGTCACAACCTGCTCCTCCAAAGAAGCACTGAACACCAAACCACCAACTAAAGAGTCAGAGATAAACTTGTACATGTTTAAATAGCACGTACAGGAGATTAACTATACCCCCAACCTCCCCACTCCCCCCCCCCCATCCGCCCTTCCTTACAGTTACACTGACAGACCTGGAGGGGAACCGCTCCAATAGCGATATGCGCGAGCTTCACCTAATTATAGCCAGGAGGTTCCAGGGTTGTATCCTCTCTCAACTCGATGCTTGACTGGTTTGTCACACAGGGGACCAAACCTAGCAGTTGTGTCGGTAATTAGCTTTAAAGAATTGAATTTACATACGTTAGTAACGACACTAGATTTCTGAACTGATTTTGGAGACGGAGTGAAATAAACGGTCAGTGCACCGTATTCTGGATGGTTGGCCGAGTCGTTGTGTACTTGTGATAGGTAAAGACACTTTACTCGCAGGTACTTTTCTCCTCATAGGAGTGGAGATGGCAAACAATCTGCACAACTCAGCGAGTGAGTTACCCGAAATTCCTCCATTTGTCCCTTCAGACTCGGGATGAATCCCCAGGAGCATTGCGAATAGGTCTAGCATACAGAATTATGTACACTAGACCTATTTGTTATGCCTATTTGGAAAACCAAGAAACGACAACTTACTTTTCCCCAAACTCTTGGATATTGCTAACATTTCCATACCACGGCAGAACGTCCAACCAAAACAAAACTCCCACACAGAGCAGCTGATATGAGGACGTCCAGAATAGAAAATACAACAGATTGATCCCTTTCTTTGACGATTTATTTTCCATCTTCACTCCCTTCTCTTGGATTACGTTCATGGCAGCTAAAGGAGCCTGAAGAATCAAAACAAAACTAATCGGCTTTATATCCATTAAACACCGGGATTGGCTTATTAATTCTGCCGTCTATATCATGCATTTCATTTCAATCTGAGAATTTGTTTTACATGGGGAAAGCACCCCTGAGATGGGACGTTTGTGTTTCACATCACATGGGCAGAATACTGTTTTTATCTCATGGCATGACATAGCATACTATGAGGTTTTGCTATGGAGCGAAAATTGACTGTCTCACTCCATTCTGATTAATTTATGCATTACTGACGAGGATTAAACGCGTTATTCCCTGCCTTCCTACTTGGTTTAGTTCTGTCCCAAAATTCTTGCTCTTTACCTCTGTTCATAAATCTTGGGGTGGTGCAAAGGCAGAAATGTCTCCCGAGTACATGGAGATGGAGTGGTCAACATAATTCAAAATGCCGTGGTCGTTTCGGGCCGTACGCGAAAATTATCACCGTGGTTTTATCTTCCTTTCGCTCCATCCTTTATAAAGAAACACCTCTGTACACCTCAGAAACGAAGAGAAAGTACGTGCAACTTGAAAGAAAAGGGTTTTTAAGTCTTGAAATCGATGATAACAACAGTCTCATCGATCGAAGGATATGGACGATAAATTTTATTTTCGCGGCGCGAAAGCGAGGATTTAGTTCTTGTCCTCGAGCGAAAATCAATGAACTGTTTGGCAGCTGCTTTACCGTGCTTTGACGTATAACAGATTACTTTGTTTTTTGCAATGCAATTACCTTGTGAGCTTTTTCGAATAATTGACACTGGTTAAGCACTGGTTGAATTTTTAGTGTCAATTGTGCTATTATTCTGCGATAAATTGAACAATTTATCTGAATTTTAAGTAAACGATACCTAGAAACCTCATCTTGTGTCTGTGTGTCTGTTTTTACTTTGCGTATGGTTGAAATTAACCGGTCATTTAGGGGTATGTCACACGCTATTCGAAGGAGACGGGTGTCAAAGTTTAATCAAATAATTAAGAAACACCATGTGGTAGCTCCAAGAAGCCTTTGATTAAATTTTCATGTCGAAGTCTTGTCGAGTCATTTGGCTTTGTCCGCCTGAGTAAATCAAACTTGAAATGCCATCACTGCAATTTCGATTTCTGTGACATAAAGTTGTACTTACGAAGCCAAGCATGAAAATAATGGGCCACATTACTCTGGAAACACCTTGAGCCACGTCTTTTCTTTCCTTGGATTCGGGATCAACCTCGGGAAAAATTGTTGAGATGAGGCAAATAAAAAGACCAACAACCATGATGATACTACAGGACAACTTCAGCAAGGTGGGCTTCTTACGCACAATCAGCATCCTTGGAAGAAAAACAAAATTCACAGCAGTGACATTGAGTTAATTCGTGAAAGAAGAAGAACAGTTACAATCACGTTACTTATATCTCCATCGTTAGAAAGTAAACAATTTAGTAAAGAGGACACTGCTCTGATTTTTGTAGAAACTCAATATTTCAGTCCAGAAAATTATTTTCCAGTTGATGATCGCCATGGGACAGTTTAAAGTGCCCCTGAGATCAAAATTTTCGTACATCATTTTTTCCCATTTTCGTGTTCAGTGTGTCTCCTTCACCTACTCTGCCAAGTTTCAGTTTAGACCGAGCACAAGAAATATCTTTTTTCGGGCCGTTAAATTCACAATTTCGAGTCCGCCATTATTTGATCATGTTCCGAAAGTTGATCACAGGTCTCAGAGGAACTGACGTCAAAGGCTCAACGCGAGAATCTCACATGGCAAAATTTCAAGCAAACATAACAGAGTGCTTTACTCTATTCTTACAAAAACTAAACAAAAATGACTGGGCATCGATGCGTAATTCAAAACTGAAGTAATCGTGCAGACCATGCTGCAGGTATTTCTCTACATCGGAGCCTTGCAAGTAGATCGGAGCGGGAAAAACGGATGCGATTTGTGCGACCTCGCCGAGTAAACTTCAATCCTACAGAAATATTTGTGATCTACTCCGAACACTTCTCGGAGGACTGTTTCGAGAGATCTGAGTACTTTAAAGGGTCTAGGCGAAGAATTCTGTCGGGTTCAGTGCCCACCGTTCCAGAAGAGAAGGGACAAGAAAAACCGTCCTCAGTGCGATCTCGACGCCGGAAAGCGAAGTCTACGAACCTACACGGATTTTGTCACCTTTACATATGAGCTGATCAATATCCACCTTTAACAACTCTCTGGCAGAATACCTTACACAAAGGAAAGTACTCGGTGAACTTTGTAAATAAGAATGATAAAATAGCCGAATTGAGAATTGAGATTTCTGACCTCAAAGAGCTCACTATTATACAAAAGAGATGAAAAATATAATTGTGTGGTCTGATTCTAAAAAAAGCTGGCTTTAATATCAGCGAAAGCAGAACAAACAGCTTAAGCCACAGCGTAAAAACACTTTCAAATGTAGGCTTGCAGCCGAAAAACCGAGAAAATGAAAATTTATTTAAAAACCCGTCAAACTATCAACCATGTGACAGCCAAGTCAGAGTGCTATCAAATGGTCTCAAATTCATCCCAACGCCCGTGACAAACGAATTTAAAATCAGGCCAACTTTTGCGAGATTTATTCGCAAGACGAATGCGCCTCCGTTACACCTTTCACGGACAAAACAAAGAACCACTTCTGTTTCATATCAAACTGAATGCCACCGGTTCAGTCTTCTATCGCCCTTCAGAGCTACTTGGAAAGTTGTCATAATGCTACTTGCAGACTGCTAAGCCAAAAAATACTTTGTAACGCAGTGAGGTCACGGCCCTAAAAGAGTTAAAAACTCTGCTTTAAACCTCACCGAAGCAACACAACAATAGTCATCGTGAATAAGACAGAAAAAACAAAAGAGGCCAAAGTGCCACTCAACAACAGAGTTCACTTCAAACCTCTCAAAGCACCGATAGTAAAAAACACGTAGGAAAGGGTTAACGAGATCACTGACCAAATGCATCGGGGAAAACACTATAGGGACCTTAAGATTTGAGGACAGCGTCTTCTTCTAGGACTTCACGGCATAAGGCCAGGGGCGAGAACGCCGTTCTTTGCGCGGGAATTTAGACTTAAGAAAAGATAAACAAGACGCGAACTTTTTCCAGTCCCTGGTCGACAATAGCGTCCTTCAGGAAGGCGCGGGACGAACTTCTTTTAAGTTTTTGCGTGGAAATCATTAATGAGGATGAATTTCTGTTGTTGTATGATGTTAACAAGTCGAAAAATCCACTGTATCTTTATTGGAATTATGAAAGATTTACATTGCAAGATAAAAGCGAGGCTGAGTGTAAAACAGATTTTCGCTTCCAAAAATACGAGATCCCTCTCTTGGTTGATGTTCTTGGCTTACCTGACGAATTATAATTAAAATGCGGAACTTAGCTGGTCTCTGATAAAGTATAAAAAAATTAATGTATGGAGGCTTTCGAAATGAGTATTCTTTGTACGCAGTGGGATGAAACTTGTATGGATAATAAATATGAGAGTCTTAATTACGTGAGACTCAAATCACTTTAAAGGTAAGCCGAGGAAACAAGTATCTTCGATATATCTATTCTCAAGCCGCGGAAACAGCATAAGAGTAACCAGTAAATTACCCATTCATGAATAAATCGGTAGAACATGGCAAACAGGAGGAAAATGTATCGAGACTTTAAAAGAAAGATTGCAACGCTCGAAAACTTTTGATTAGGCTCGCTGTAGAAACTGCGAGTTTGACTTCTGATTATAACTACACTCTACTTACATCAGCCGAGCTCTCACATGACATGATAAATTGATGCTCAACATGATAAATTTTTCCATTCTGTTAATAAGGAAAACATTTGGAGTCTTCTTACTCGGAACTGGAATCCATCGTCTATCAGTGAAAAAACAACCACTGTTAACAACACGGTATACAAAAGAACAGAGAAAACGGCGAAAGAAATGAATAATTTGAGCTCCAACACCAAACACATACTAACGTTTTGTGCACGACGCGAAATTTAAAAAATGGCGTACTCACCACAAGTGAAACCCGTCCCCTTCACACACAGACATGCGCAATGTCATTTTTAGGTGAAAACGAACTTCCGGTGGCGTCCTAGACAGGTGACGTCCTCAAATCTTAAGGTCTCTATAGATCGTTTTCACTCACGTGACCAAAACCCTGACAACTGTTGCTACGCCGCGAATCGGGGCAGCAAACTTTAGATTTAAACTTCGAAGGTAGCGAAGCCGAAAGTCTAGATAAGCCCACAGAGAAAGGCACACAAACTGACTCAAGAATGTTTGTTTACGTCGGCACGCAATCGGAAGAGTTTGCGTGCAAGCAAGTTTTCCATTTATCTTCGTCCACGCTTCTATGTAAAATAAAACGCTTGCAATATGCGAGCATGATTCAGCTAGCCCGGCCTTACAACCTAGGCAATGAGCGGATAAAATTGTCCCCTCCTTTTCTGCTGTAATCCAGATAGGGATCAAAGAGTCATTCATTCTTTGCGAATATCTCACCTTGGCTGACACAACAAATTTGTTTGCGATTATGTGGCCTTTTACGCTGGTCATAAATCCCGAAACCATCTGATTGTTGGCTTCCAGGCTTCGGAAAGCCTTAAACTGTTGTTGCGTGTAGAAGCTCGTCTCCAAAACCAGATAGAAAAGGAGATCTGTAGATTCAACTGGAGGCAAGCAGTCTGGTTGAAAATTCTTACTCTAAATAAGGACGGGATAGAACCCAATCGCCGAAATTTCTTCCAAATAACGCTGCCTTACTCGTGGTTCTAGCTTCTTGGCGTACTCAGAAAGAGGAGGATGGATAATGATATCAGTATTGGCACTTAATTTTGCTTCCGTTGCTGTAATATTCATTTTTACAGGCAGAAATTGTTGATGTGCTTATTATTTGCATATATTAACCTGCATGTATTACCCTGGGTTATACACAAATATGGCGACCGGAAATGATGTGACGTCACGTGAAAACGATCTATTGATGGCTTAGAAATGGCTTTCACAAACTCCCAATATCCGCCTTCGGATACACAATTAGCCATTGCCGAAAACTATTTTTACTAATCCCCCGATCATTTCTTACAAAAAAGGAAAATCCCTTACGACAAGCAAAAATACAGTTCGAAGGCGACAAAGCGATGCGACCTGGCACAAAAGCCATATGGGGAGTCCGTGCCGTTCTGTGTTCATCTTTATTCGCATGGCAAAAATTCATCGTTTGTCGGCACAAAACTATCCACAGAAGCTTCAGATGATTTCTGGGACAATTCATCGTCTGAAAAAGTCGACATTTCCCGACTGACAACGAAACAGTTCTCAAAAAAGTAATATGTATGATTCTCTGTGCAGCGAACATAGAGAGTTGTGACAAAACAAAGCATAAGTTTGTTGAGCCTTCATGATGACGTTTTTGCGGGCTTGGCTGGAACATGCTTTTAGCAATGGCGGACGATTTTTGGACGACTTTGAAGCGGTAAAAATTGGTCATTGAAGGTTTGTTTCGAGTTTTTAATGGCAAAAAGGGTCTTAACTTGACCCAATTCAACATTGAGTAAACAAGTGAAGGTGTAGTCTGATCGTCCGGGTGAGTGTAGTCCTGAGAAGGACTGTTGTCGGTGGTAGTGACTGACGTTTCGACAACCTGTGCGGAAGTCATTATCAGAGTCAAGTGAATGATTGTTGTCAGTAGAATGTTCTTATTCCAGTTCGTGTGAAATGATCGGTTGGTTTTGCCGTGATGTTATTGGCTGTAAGACTCAAGTGACGTAAGTCGGTCGTGATTGGTCTGTTTCGATCTGTCGGTAAAGTTAGGTCGTTCTTTTTCGGTCGTTTGTGATGTTAATGTCGTGAATGAGTCGTTTGTATGGAGCGGGTAGTTGTTGACATCTGTTTAGGGGAGTCTGTTCTAAGTTAGTAAACCAGCTTTCCAGAGTCAGTCGTTGAAAATAGTCAGTGCTGTAGGTTAGGCATTGCGCAGAGTCCCAGTCAATGTTGTGGTTGGTAAGTCGATGGTGTTCAGCAATGTGATTGCTGACATCACCTTTCCTCGTCGCCCGTCTGTGTTCAGTCAGTCTTGTTGTGAGGTTTCTGCCAGTCTCACCGATGTAGGAGGCTTGGCAGTCGGAACAATTGATCTTATAAATCGTTCCCTGTCTGTTCCTCGGTTCGTCTTTGTCTTTAACGTTGGTTAGTAACTGACGTAGTGTGGTGATGGGTTTGTGGGCGACGCGGATATTGAAGGGTAGTAAGATGCGCGATATGTTTTCAGACATGCCTTATATGTACGGTATGGTTGCTGTAGTCGTAGGGGTTGCGGTGTCGTTTGTTTCGGTAGTGGTAGTGGGTCGGTAAGTGTTTCGTCGGATGAAGTCGTTGTTGTAGTTGTTCTTCGTAAAAACACGGTGAAGGTATTTGTTCTCGTCGGATAAGCTGTCTGTCGAGTCGCATACTAGTTGTGCGCGTCGTGTTAGAGTTCTGATAGTTGTGGCYTTGTGTGATGTAGGGTTGTAGGATGACTCGTCTAGTAATCTGTCGGTGTGTGTCGGTTTCCTGTAAACTGTCGTCCGTAATGAGTTGTCGTTGTGGCTTACCAGGCAGTCTAGAAAAGGAAGTTTGCCATTTTCTTCGACCGACGCACACTGACAGATTACTAGACGAGTCATCCTACAACCCTACACCTTCACATGTTACCCCCGGGTTCAAACCATTTACTGCACAGTGAGTAAACAATTAGGAAAAAATAAAAGTGTCAATTTTCGTCTCAGGGGCACTTTAAGAAACAGAGTCACATGATTTTATGTGGAAACAACTCTCCTGAAATTAATCAAGTTGGACATGTTTTTGTCGTCGTCAGAAAAAAAGAAAATGAGTCACATTGGCTAGTTTTGAAAGCAATACACCAAGATACTTGTCACACCAAACTTCAATTATGGTGCATCATTGTCGCTTAATGTGACAGCCGACCGCATTGCATGCTGCTTACAGTCGGCACAGAAACTCCAAACTCAAGAAACTTCCAAACTCAAGAAGAAACTCCGCTTACCTGAATAATACAGTCAAAGGGATCATAAAGTTTCCAAGAATCGCTTGAAGGTATGGCGGTGTTCGTGATCCTTTACTCGCGAATACTACCAAAGCTCCGTTCAAGGCGTTACAGAAGCCAACCAAGAAGAGCAGAAGGTGTGGAAAACGCTTTTCTGTTTCACCGAGATCTTGCGGTGTAAATATTTTTATGAACAACGTTCCCAGTCCAAAGATTATCACAAAGGACAAACTTGAAAAGGAAAGCACAAAGTAACTGTCCACTGATTTTCCCGAATCATTTCCATTTACGGAGTCGATCCACAGCGGAAGAGAGACTTTCTGTCCGACTTGTCCGGTTACAGCAAGAAATGCAAAAAACAAATTTGCCCAGAATAGAGGAATTTCGCAGAATCCGATCTTAACCTTTCCTCGTTTTTCATAAAGTGATGCCTGGCGAGATGGCTCGATATTAGTGGAAATGTTTGACACATCACCATCGTCATAAATCGGTTGAGAGCTACTGGTATTAGAACCCATTTCTGAAGAACTGATAGGGGATCCAAGGCGCAGTGTTTTCCGGAAAAGTTTTCTTAGCAGCCTTGAGAGAACGGTTTAAAATCTCTTCCCGGTCTGATTAGCTTCAGTTTCGTCGACCTTGGACGATTGTGTGGATATAAACGGTTTATGGTTTCAAGGTCGTCATATGTGTTTTATAATTATGTTGGGTCACATCATTAAAATCTCGTGCGCTCCACATGTTTAACAATAAAGTGGAACAGACAAAGAAATGTTATCCCCTTTCAGCTTTACCCACATCAGAACTGTTAGATTTCACAACATTACTTCATCACTGTTCTAACTGGCAAGATGCCATTCCGGAAAAGCTTTAAAATGCGTCAATTTCTTTAAAACACAGGTAGCGTGGCTACTTTGTTCCGCTTGAATAACGCTGTTACCGTATTTATTCGATCAAGCGCCTAGGGCGCTCATTAATCTTTGGACTTTCAGGGTGGGCGCTTATTCGAGTTGGGCGCTTATTCAAGGCTGGGTACTTATTAAATTTTCACCATTTTTTTGCGGCAGAAAGAACTTTGCTCCCACATGGACATTTCAGTTGAAACTTCGAGAAAAATTCCAACGTTGTCATAAAATTTTCAGACAATGAAACTAGAGATTGTAAGCCATAAAAGAAATACCGTAATAATCAATACCCATATTCCTCTTTTGTACTTTATAATTATTTTTTTTTTGGGGGTGGGCGCTTATTCGAGGTTGGGCGCTTAAAAGTACTTTTTGGGGGTGGGGTGACGACTGCTAAGGAGATGATAGTAATTTCGGCTCGGTACTAGTGAGAAAAGGGGAGAAAAAGATAACAACTGAAGATAACAAGAAAACAAGCAACAACATAGTGACATAACGTGACAAAACCAATTGACGACAACTGCCGAGGAGCTAAAAGATGTTTACTGGTCGGCTCGCTATCAATCAGAGCTGAGCAAACCACGCTTACGGGTTTTTTTCCGTGCATAGTTAGCCAAACATAATAATAAGCAAAAACACTGCATAAATCAACAAGATAGAAATAGAGTCTGGTTAAGGTAAGGTGCATGAAAGCTTAGCAATTTACGTTTTCGGGAGGTTCGGCTATGACAATACTCACTGAAAAGTCAATGCCCGTTCTGATCTAGAAAAAAAAATAAACATATCGTTACAGGAAATCGTCTCTATTTCTCTTAAGTGCACCTTATGGCAAGCACGTGCACGATTAAGGCTGTCGACCTCTCAAAGTTAATAAAACAAAACATTGGAAAACTACACGAAACAACGAGATAAAAATAATTTTTCACTCTCCCAACAACGAAAGAACTATTTCAACAGACCGGAGGCGTTTTCAAGAGAAATTCAGGTCTATCCTTAGGCCGTTCGTAAACATTTCCTTATGAATATGAAACCCGCTTTTTGCAATAGACCGCACTCTCTATCGGCTACCGGCGAAATAACCCGCGCGGCATGTTGGGAGAATATGTGAAAAGGTTGTTGGGTCTCGAGCCGGAGGCGAGTTTTTTAGCAACTCTTCTCGTGTTCTCCCAATAACAGCGTGAGCTATTATGGGTGTCAATCGATGGAGAGTGCAGTCCGATTGCTTTGATAGAATAAAGCTAAATATTCCGTGGGTTTACCAATGCAATGACCATAGGGTTTTTTTTTTTTTTACCGACTAGACGTTCAAGGAGCGTTCACTCGGGCTTCGTATCAAGCGTTTTACTTGAGCATTTCCCACGCGTAAAATTTACATCCGGGACCTGCGTGGGGAATTTTCGATATCAGTCATTCCTGTGCCTTTATTTGAGATATTTCTTTCCATGTTTATCTCTACTTGAATTGTAAACATATCTCATAAGAGTTAACGTTTCTTGTTCTAAAAATTGGTTTCCTTCTCATTTTTTGTACAAACCTGACTCTTGCTTAATGTGTACTTTTCTTTCGTGTTGCATTATTTTTAATAAGATCATGGACTTTCAATGACTTTGGTACGTTTTTACTTAAACGGCTCCGTACATAACTTTGTAGTTTTCTACTTTTCTGAGAGAGACGTTTCAACATCTTCACTGGTACTCTGCTTGGTTTACGATTACATTTATAGCCATGGCATTCACACAAAGCACGAGTACAATATGATATACATACTTTGCATGACGAGATTTGAATTGTTGTACTTTTATTGACACTGTAATATCATCATGTTCGTGTACATCAGTCATAGTGATAACCTTTTCTAGTAGATCACAGTCATCAAGAGTATTCATCATATCTTCCACTATGCACATACAACTCCATGCGAAGAGTAAACCGACATTCACGATTGCTTGTACACTTGATATAATAGTGATTATGTACAAAATACCAAATCGTACTTTACAAGTATTGAACCTGATAAAAACCACTAACAGAGACAGGATATTTAACGGAAGAGCTAAGCTTAGATATTTAACGATACTATTCAAGTTGCGTCTATCAGTATCCTTATCCAATTCGCTGTTGTTAGCACCACCTACGAAGTTGTGTTCATGAACATTCTTGATTATTTCGGCAAGTGAGGCATTCGTGTCAGCATCATAGTTTGTTGTTAAATCGGCTGTCTCAGTTTTGCCAGTATCTTCTTAGTTTGAAGTCACATATGGCTCATTTGTCATCTCGTGAGAACTATTATGAACTTTGCACATTTGACTAGCTTTCAAGCCATAGAGTTCGTGCACCGGCCCATTCCGAAATGGTCGACATCATTTAGTGTGGGCCTACCGCGAACGGCGTGTGCGTTTGTATGTGAGATAAGCGTATAATACAGGAATCTTTGCAAAGCGGTCCTCCCAAAACACGGCTGTAAGTTACGTTAATTGCGAAGAGCGAACACATGATAACGTAAGTTGTCGGACTCTCATCCCCAGTTTCCACAGTTTCCGCAAGGAACTCCCGGGACCATGACCCCCCCTTTTGACGACCAAGAGCGGCTTGCAGTTTAAAACTCGGGCTTTCCTACGGAAGCCCGAGTTATAAGGGCGTTTTTAGTATAGTGTATCTCATATGATGGTGGACGACATAAAAAGTGTGCAGTTTAAGACTGCATGTGGCTATTGATATAGCACAACATTTACAATGTTAAAAAGAAATAGTGGTTGAATAATGCTATGCAAAACAGAAAACCTGCCGCACCCCACATATTTAGGAGTTCCCTGTTCCCACAAGAGAAAGATCATTCAAGAATATAGTGACTAATTGACACTCAACTAGTAATTAGATGGTAACAAATAGTCATATCAACAATAATAATAATAATAATGAAATAAACAATTTTTAATATAAGAGAAAAATCGAATCCCACTTGGAAACTCGATTTTTCTCTAATAATAATAATAATAATAATAATAATACTAATACTGATAATAATAGAAAAATCGAGTTTCCATATGGGATTTGAACCTACGACCCTCCGTGATCTAGTCAGATGCTCTAACCACTGAGCTACAGGAGACTCTATAGTAAGCAAGGGTCAATTAGTGGGTATTGACTGGAACCGCATCACGCGGCTAGCGCATAGAAGCTCACTAACAGCATCACGCTGTCACATAAAAGCATCACATGCATTAAAGCATCACATGCATTGAAGCATCACATGTATTAAAGCATCACATGCATCACATGCATTAAAACATCACATGCAGCCAACCAGCCCCCAAAGTGAGCATGTAAAGATGAAATAAACAATTTTTAATATAAGAGAAAAATCGAGTTTCCAGATGGGATTTGAACCCACGACCCTCCGTGATCTAGTCGGATGCGCTAACCACTGAGCTACAAGAGACTCTATGGGGAGCAAGGGTCAATTAGTGGGTATTGACTGGAACCGTATCACGCGGCTACACAGCCAAACATCTGCTAGCGCATAGAAGCTCACTAACAGCATCACGCTGTCACATTAAAGCATCACATGCATTAAAGCATCACATGCATTAAAGCATCACATGCAGCTAACCAGCCCCCAAAGTGAGCATGTAAATATGAAATAAACAATTTTTAATATCAGAGAAAAATCGAGTTTCCAGATGGGAAACTCGAACTTTCTCTTATATTAAAAATTGTTTATTTCAATAATAATAATAATAATAATAATAATAATAATAGTAATAACATTGAAAACAATGATAACAGTAATAATAAAAATATCTTATAGGGGCTAGCTTAAAAACCTTACTGTTCCTCTATCGCTCTATCCTCTAAGTTTCAATAATGATTTTAATTTTGCCTGTTAATTATGAATTATTTTCATATTTCATTGCAATTGACATTCCGCGTTGTAGGAGAATCCACCATTCCGCTATTCTGTCGTTATGTCAAATAGGGTCACTGCTGTTAAACTCAAGTATCGTATTTGGGACCCTGCTCGCTTCACAAATTTAGCGGCTCTCTTAGGCGTTAGTCGCTGATTGAAATGGTAAAATGCTCTCCGTCTTCGAATAAATACAACTTGAAGATCTACCACGGTACACTTAGAAAACTGTACCGTTTTCCCATGAAAAGCTTTCATAAAACTCAGCGGTCACTAAAATAGTTTTACTCCTTGCGCACCCTAAAATTTATCTTTAGTAGCCCCTTGATTCAGGAGTGGTTTTAAAACATTATTTCGATTCACAAGGTAAAAGTTTTTATAAGGAGGTCTCCTTCCTTAATCTGCAATGATCACAATATGTGCAGTGATCAATCCATGTTTGAAAGCAGCACAAAAACTGATCGTTTGAACTACTTCCTAAAATATTAATTTGTCATCATCAGAAACTCCAATCCGAAAACTTAGACTTAGCTATTATTAAATAATTTGGATATATCAACAAAGTTGAAATAGTAAATTGGCCACCGTAACGATTACAAAAGCTGACGTTTTGAGCGTTAGCCCTTCGTCGGAGCGAATAGAGTAATTGTGGGTTGTGTGTGCTTTTAAAGGCAGAAAATGGAGCTACGTTATTGGTAGGAACATCGCAACGAGAAAGAAACGAGAAATTAGTGGAATGAAAAGCCAACCGAGGGGGCAGGCCGTTAAAGCTGATTTTTTTCAGGTCTGATTTTCGCTATCGCATAAATAGCGCTTTCTACTGCGAGGTCGTGCATCATACGTATCTAATACCGCAGTTCAAAATATCTGAACTTTTATATATTCATTGCATCTGAATTATCATCACGGGTTTATTACGAATCAACTTAACGGCCTGCTCCCAGTTGGCTTGTTAGCTCAATTGGTAGAGCGCTGCATTAGTATCGCAGAGGTCAGTGGTTCGAATCCCGTACAGGCCTGATTTTTTTCAGGTCTGATTTGCGCTATTGCATAAATAGCGCACTCTACTGCGAGGATCGTGCATCATACGTATTCTACTCTTTGACAAACAACCCTGTGGCCTCGATTGCATGAGAATCTAGACAGTCGCGGGCGGGGGGGGCAGTCATTGGAGAGGCTTTTCTCAAGGGAGGAGCGGCTAAAAGAAAGCCAGATTAAAAAACTTCTTCTCCAGGCAGGCGTCCATTCGATAACATTCAACACTTTCAGAAGAAGAGGAGACAGCGGGAATTGAATGGGAAGAATTTGAAGATGAAGTAGAGCTTCTAAACTCTATCCATCCGCACATTGGTGTCACCCGGAAAGAAATCGTTGGAATCCTTGGACCTTCGGACAATAAAAGCTGACTTACTGATATTCTACAAAATTATTAAGTGCACTGAGCAGTTCATTAGCGATTATTTTGTGATTCATTGTGGATAATTACGAATGCAAATTATCGAAAGCAGCGCCGTACAGGTATGTGAAAATCTCACATTTCCACTTCGCTTTAAATTTTTCCTGTGATAATAGCCATACATATTTTTACGGAATATGGTGCTCTCAAGCACGGTTGTGGAGTGTGTGCAACTCCTGATATCTAGTTTTGTCCCAGTACGGAGAAATCGCAATTTAAAAAGTACCAATTTTCGACTTAGTCGAGTAGTGGCATATTTGACGTGACGACAGTGTTTACATTTATCAAGATACTCTACCTTTGTGATCACACTTGGAAAGTTGAAGTATTAAACTGTTATATTCCAGAATATCTCTCGTATTGAATCATTTTTAACAGCGTGAGATCGTAATAAAGATTGCTCATTTTGTGTTCACAAATGATGTCAATTTCACGATTCGACCGAGCGGACGTGCGGAAAATTGTTCAAAAATAAACACCTTTTGAAATCGGAGGGAAACCACTTTTGTTCCGGTAATAGGCAATGGTTTCCTTATCCACATGCAAAGTTTAAGGTAAGATTTATTTTTAAACCAATTTCGAGTGGTCGGAAATTACCGAGAGACACGCTCTTAAGTGATGACATTTCCAAAATATTTAAGAATTTATTAGAGAATAATCATAGATGAAAAATAGTGAAATGTAACCTGGTTATTCTATTTTTCAATTTGGTTGAACTTTATTCCGTTAGAAGCTTCCAAATTAAAAAAAGATTATCGTGCTATTGTTGAAATTTCCCAACAATGTTACACCTCGCTGCTTTAAACACTGTAGTTTCCCAAACTGGTGTTGTCAGACAACAGAGGACGAGTTGCACCAGACTGAGGTACTGAACGGTAGAAGCGACTTCGATGGGACACCTCAAACTCTCTTCGCTCATTTCCATTTGAGTTCAGAGAAATCTCTGGAGCTCTGAGGAAAAGAAAGGAAGATGGTAAAGTACCAAAATATTTTTTGGCGAACTAGCTAAGGTGGGGAGAACTTGTTTACTTCTGGGGGCGAACTCACAGAGGTGGAAGGAGCAAGCTTCCAAGAAACCTCAACTAAGAGGTGAAGTTTAGTTCTTGGGTGCAAAAGTGTGATCAAAATGTAGAAGTATTCTTCTTTTAGTTTCCATACTGTTGCATAATCAGCAATTCACGCCGCCATTTACATTTTATCACAAAAGAATATCGTTGCTAATTAGTGTACATTGGTAGTGTGACCGTAATATGTGCAGAATGCTAGCAGGTATAAAACTCGTGAATTTTGGCTCTACATATTATTATTACTTGGATTAGTGTGTGCACGAATAAAAAACTTTGTTTTTACAGAACCGAGTAGTTAACACATACCAGTTCACCTTTACATGCTTTTAGTTGGTTTACTAAAAGAAACTGGTAATTTAAAAGTTCGAGCGAACAACGGAGGATAATTGCTTTTCAGCTCAAACCATTCGTGTAACAATTTTAGGAAACCAAGTTTTACTCCCAGCCCCTTTGAGGCGGAAAAGCGACAGTGTGGGATGGATGGGAACATAAGGACAACTAACTTACACCGGTCACAGAAGCGGCAGATACTCCTGGAGTATCCGCGTTAAACCTTGAATCCCTAGGAGTCAAAAGCACTTAATTTCCTCTTCCAATATCACTCCTGAATCACACATTTCGGTCAACAAATTAAAAAAAAAAAACAAATAAAAAAAACAAACACACTAGAAAAGCTCTTAGGGATTGTTATGCAAATTCTCCTTGTCATTACCATAGCAAATGCAAAGAGAACAGCGTGAAGAATTTGCATACTGATGACAGAGTGTAAAGAGTCGAGAGAGCTTCTATTGTGCACTTTCTTACCCCTTGTTGTAAACAAAAATGGCGGGAACAATAATGGCCAGCGCGCCGATACTGAACCAGGTGCTCGAGTTGCATTGAGGCTGCCATTTAAACGGGACTTCGTTGAACAAGGTCCAGAAGAGAAAACCCAAGGGAGTTACCAGAGACTAAGAAATGAAAAAGAACCAGAGCGAATCATTTTAAGTCTGTAGTCGAGCTTATTGACCGACCCAGCCGGAGCGCGTCCCAGTTTCCATGTGGATCAAAGGACTAGGAGTATTACTGCTCTACCCTGGGTGGGATGCTAGTTTATCACAAGGTTACCCCCTCCCCCTCCCCCTCCCCCTCTCCCAGTGTTTCAACAGGCTTCTCCGACAGTTTATTAGTTCCCATTGATATTTCTGGTCGGAGAGAGGTCCTGTGAAAGTAAAGTTTCTTGCCAAAGAACACAAAACATTGACCAGGTGTCGAACCCAAACCTTCTCGACCCGGTGTACAGTGCACTGACCATAAGGCCAGTACGTCAATTGAGCAGAAACAACATCTGCGCTGTGTGATAAAAATCACCGGCACCTTTGGTGACAGTGGCTCCTTCTTAGTGCCATAGAAGACACAAGACACGTCACAGAGAACACCGCCTCTATCATGAAACCTTTGTTTGAATTATTTTCCTCGTTATTCTTTTGTCTTTCTGTTCTCTATTGTTTCTGTTCTCTATTGTTTCTGTTCTCTATTGTTTTACGCCAGCAGCGTCTTCTACAACAAGTAACAGCCGAGAAAGGTTAGGTCAAGAGGAGCTGTATTCCCAAATTTTTTTAATCACTTGTCTCTAGTTCCCGATTTACAATCTTTTCTCGTATTCTCTCAACCGCCCGCGTGCCGGGGTATTACGCCAATAAACCCATAGAAAGTGCGTTCTATCGCATATTTTATTAATCAATGGATAGGTGCCTCAGATTGCAGTTTGTTGGCCGAGGTTACCTTGTCTCTAGTTGTTTTCAAAGTTCCTTGTTTTATTTCTCAGACACACTATTTTACTCTTCCCCTCAAGATTTCTTTTCCAAATTTTGATTTTGTTTTTCCTAATAAACTGCAGTGATAAGTTGAGCCTGTCCAGGTGTGCTCTTAGCAAATCGATAGTAGAACAGTACGAAAAAATAGGCATTCTTGGAACGAAGACGAATTCGGGACGGGAAGAGTTTTGGGCAAGACGGCTTTAGGATGGAAAGAGTTCGATAGGCCAGAAACTTCCCGTTTTTTTCTCTTAGCCAGCTCTTTTGCCCATTTACTAAGTGAACATATTGAAGAGGCTATCTAGAGTTCTTTCGCTTACCGACACAATCGCCAGCCACGTGGCTCCCTCATCATATCTTAATAAGAAAGCTGCTGCCATGTGATTCACCAGATGCATACTAATGTACACTGTTCCTCTTGAACCTGATGAAGAATCACAGCCTGCTCCACCGAAGAAACACTGAAATCCAAACCAAATACTAAAAAAGAAAGGAAATAAGACTATCAGGCCTGTTTGGTCTCACTCTGTTCTGGTCCGAGAAATTTGGGGTTGCGGTGAACAAATAAAAAAAAATTCAATGAGTTAAAAAGAATGAAAGAATGATAAAGAACGAAAGAACGAAAAAACAAAAGAACAAAGGAACGCAAGACCGCAAGACCGCAAGAACGAAAGAACGAAAGAACGAAAGAACGAAAGAACGAAAGAACGAAAGAACGAAAGAACGAAAGAACGAAAGAACGAAAGAACGAAAGAACGAAAGAACGAAGGAACGAAAGAACGAAAGAACGAAAGAAAGAAGGTGCACTTACTTTCCTACAGACTCCTCTAAATTTGTAACATTTCCGTACCATGGCAAAATGTTTAACCATAAGAGCACAAAGATACAAATGACTTGATATGTGGTCGACCAAAACAAAAAATAAATGACGCCGATTCTGTCTTCTGATGTTTCACTTTCCATTTGCAATCCTTTTTCTTCAAGAACAACCATTAGCGCTGCCGGAATCTAAAACAAGAGAAAATTCCAGCCAGGTTTTGGAATTAGCCTCTGTGACCTAATTGCTTTTATCTGCCAGTCCTACCGGAGGTGCCACGATCCTAGGACTTATTTGTGACATGGGCTTAGTCCTACTTAGGTCCTACACTTCCGCTTCACTGCCTTATTTCAGTCACATATATATTCATTTCACAACGCTTCATCAAATGTTACCGGATATTAATCAGCTATTGGCTACGCTCCTAAGTTAGCGGGTATTGATGATCTNAGCCAGCTCTTTTGCCCATTTACTAAGTGAACATATTGAAGAGGCTATCTAGAGTTCGTTCCCTTACCGACACAATCGCCAGCCACGTGGCTCCCTCATCATATCTTAATAAGAAAGCTGCTGCCATGTGATTCACCAGATGCATACTAATGTACACTGTTCCTCTTGAACCTGATGAAGAATCACAGCCTGCTCCACCGAAGAAACACTGAAATCCAAACCAAATACTAAAAAAGAAAGGAAATAAGACTATCAGGCCTGTTTGGTCTCACTCTGTTCTGGTCCGAGAAATTTGGGGTTGCGGTGAACAAATAAAAAAAAATTCAATGAGTTAAAAAGAATGAAAGAATGATAAAGAACGAAAGAACGAAAAAACAAAAGAACAAAGGAACGCAAGACCGCAAGACCGCAAGAACGAAAGAACGAAAGAACGAAAGAACGAAAGAACGAAAGAACGAAGGAACGAAAGAACGAAAGAACGAAAGAAAGAAGGTGCACTTACTTTCCTACAGACTCCTCTAAATTTGTAACATTTCCGTACCATGGCAAAATGTTTAACCATAAGAGCACAAAGATACAAATGACTTGATATGTGGTCGACCAAAACAAAAAATAAATGACGCCGATTCTGTCTTCTGATGTTTCACTTTCCATTTGCAATCCTTTTTCTTCAAGAACAACCATTAGCGCTGCCGGAATCTAAAACAAGAGAAAATTCCAGCCAGGTTTTGGAATTAGCCTCTGTGACCTAATTGCTTTTATCTGCCAGTCCTACCGAAGGTGCCACGATCCTAGGACTTATTTGTGACATGGGCTTAGTCCTACTTAGGTCCTACACTTCCGCTTCACTGCCTTATTTCAGTCACATATATATTCATTTCACAACGCTTCATCAAATGTTACCGGATATTAATCAGCTATTGGCTACGCTCCTAAGTTAGCGGGTATTGATGATCTGCCAGAAACTTCCATAAACTAACCGAGGTCTCCTCGGCAGCCATTGTTTGGTCTCGTCACACGACGCACTCTCTTAAGGAAGATAGCGTTGCGTAAATAGGCCAAACAACGGCTGCCAGGGAGACTAAACGACACGAAGTATCTTTAAAACAGGCTTACATATATAGGCTTACGCTGGATCTCTAGGAATGTTGGACAGAGAGAAAGTTTGCAACTGTCCAAATGAACAATTCTGGAAAGCATCGCTGAAATCTTTCACCCACCCCACTACTGTGCAATGCCGTCTCTAGATCAACTAGTTAAGGTCCTACACGAGTGACAATTTTGTTGTTCACACCCTTCTAAAGGAACCGTTGTCGTCGCATCCGGTGAAATGGTAATGCCATGAGATACTTTCACGCTATTCGAGTAAGCCTTGCCTTCCACAAGCTTGATCAATTGTCACATGAAAATCAAAGATTTACTTACAAATCCAAGCATGAACATAATAGGCCACATCACCCTTGAAATGTCATCCACTTCGTCTTGATCTTTGCTGTTAGCATCCGAGAAAATTGTTGGGATGAGGCTAATGAAAAGGCCAATCATTATCACGAGACCACATAAAAGTTTTTGTCTTGATGGTTTCTTGTGCACGATAACGATTCTAGAGAGAGAAAAAAAATGATCAGCACTTTTCCTAGCATGTGTACAGCTGTTCCCTACCCTTCGAAAAAAAGACCGAGATGGGGGCATCTGTGCACAAGCGGCACTTTCCGTCCTGTCCTCTTTACGCCTTATCAATTGTGCGGTGGAATCCAGGATGGCTGAAAAGTTCCTGTCAAAAGCATTCCTGCTACATTATTGACACCGATATGTTGTGTCAAATACTGTATACGGAGATCTTAACATCAAATCACAAATCCTGAGCATTTACTGGTCTCCTTCGCATTTGGTTCTTGCATGTCACGCAACGTAGGGACAAGAAAGAAATTGTGTGACAAGAAAGAAATTGTCACGACTGCTCAAGGCTTGTTAGTTTTCCCGTGCGTAAGTAAAATTGCAGCAGAAATATCGAGTGCGAGACCTACAAGCGACTGCAAAGATAATGTTACCCGCAATAAATGGTACAATTTTAAAAGGAATCCACCAAATACGGTAACGACCTCGACTGGAGGGCTCGGGTTGGCTGTGTAATAGTAAATATATATGGTGATGCGGTTAACACCGCGACTTTTAGAAACAGATTCTATCCGAATGGCGCACGGGCCCATCATTTTTTTCTTTTCTTTCATGAAATAGACATGGACTTAGGCATAAATTCTGAACCTCGATCTTTCCTTGCTACATGCATTGGAAATAATGTACCTTTTCGCTCCTCGTGTCAATAAGCTTGAGTAATATCAAGGGAACTTCATCAAAGAAATAAAAAATAGACAGTCAAAGACTGCATGTGGCAACTAGTATAGCACAATTTTTGTAACATCGGAAAGAACTAGAGGTTATAGAAGGTAGTGTTGCAGAATATTTGTCTCACTTGCAAAACATAAAACCTGCCACTGATTCCACATAACTATGAGTGCCATGTTCCACAAGAGAAAGCTGATTCAAGAATTTACATTGTTTTATTGACATTCAAACCAATGATTATAAGGTAACAAATAACAATATTTACAAACATTGGGTGACAGAGCTTTCCTGGTAGCTGCTCCTTTCCTATGGAATATGCTGCCAAGGTCCGCGCGCGAAGCAACGAACTTAGAATCTTTTAAGATTTTACTTAAGACATTTTATTTAAGGAATCATTTCAGTTATCTTAGTATATCTATATTTTTATTTGTAATTATCTTTCATTAATT